AGGGGTTTTGAGGAGGAGGGGGAGGGGAAAGTTCGCAAAATCGTTTCCTACGCCACGAAGTGCCATGACTCTAGACAGTTGTAATTATTCCACCGCATGCTTCAGCAGTACTAAAAATCAGAACGGGAAAGCCTGCTGTGCGCTCGCGAAAGCCTTTTTGTGCATCTTTGTTCACTAAATAGTCTGTGGCGCCTAGAAATTCATATTTCAGATCAAATACTCACGGAATTCGGGGAATGTCCCTTGAGGAGATAAAGATGGGTCGATGTCTAGGTATTACTGCGGGCTCGACCGGAAATTGTCCTTTTCGTTCCAGCTTCGTCATAGAGCGAGTACTCGTCATTGATGACTAATCAACCATCAAAAAGTGGACAAACAAACAATAGCCTGGACAGACAACACCAAGTGATGTCCGAACTGGACTCGTGAACACGACGGTTGTGAACTTTTCGTCTTATTTCACTACGTGCAAATCTGTCCACGAAACTGTTTCAAAGGGTTATCGGCACCTCTTGTACTCACACAAAAAGGAAGCGCCGAAAGGACGATTTCGGAATTTCTGGCCGTTACGACGCATTAATTAATTCAGATATATTCGCTCAGGGAACCTCCTTGTTCTCCCTGGCATTCCTGTCCCACTGTTTTCGGGTAGTCCTCCTTCCAAGACTTTCTAGCAGTCCCTTCTCATGCAGATACAAATGGTGCCGTGGGACAGTGGCAGCCATCGCGTGAACTTTCCGCGTAACACCCCTGCAAAGAATGACGAACAACTGAGTCTTCAATCCCTTCGGGAAAAATGCTTCAGTTATAGCTTGATATCGTCGCAGTCCGGTAGGTTGGTGTGGGGAGGGGTGGAAGAAGTCCGCTGGCAGCTGTAGTTTCTACCAATAGTATAGGCTCAGCTAGAAACAACCAGTGGTTGGAAAACGCAACAGATGGACTCATTCCATGGCCATCCCTTACCCCGCCCGTCGGATTGGAGCAATATCAACTGCATGGATTTCAACAAAATGCTGGAAGTAGTCCACAATGCTAAAGGTAGTGACCATCAGTACACGCCAAGGCGACGAGGAAACTTGGTCAGCCCGGGTCTTCATTACTGACGTACACTCCTCATCATTACGGACTGTCGGGGCGTATCAGCCAGTAGGAGTGCGCACACTGTTTGAAGCCGTTCTCAGCCTTTTCTTTGAAGCGCGTATGCGACAAAAAGTGGTAGAAAACGAGTAATACGAAGGATATAATGCTGTTATGTCATTTGATCGCTTCAACAACTGGTGCAGAAAGACTTTGGAACCGCGGAAAACGCAGCCGCACTGACCCGCCCCGACAGTCCGTAATGATGAGGAGTATATTTACTTCCAGTTACGGCCTCCTCGAAAGCCCACATTCCAGCTGATGTAAACTCCGTTTTCTCGTCGGAACTTCCCGAAAATTTCCTACAACGGTCGAGAATGGACAGCCGCCCGCATCACCTTTGTTTGTTGAACCCATGCCAGCATTTCAATACGACCCAGCGTCTCTTGACACCCCACCTCCGAGCATTTCTCCAGCACGGCATTGCAGCGGCTAGTTGTAACCTACTAAAATGATTTACTTACCTTCCAGAACGACATACATCCTCGCTTCGCTAGATTGACGCGCGCCAGCCTCTTTCTCATTCAGTTTGTTGAAGCTGGCAGCTGACGAAATGGCTGCGCGCTTGCCCCAAGACGCTCCTCCCGTTCTGGCAGCAAGACTGGGGCGATTGTGCTGCTGCTGACAAATTTTGCTTTTTGATCGTTCTTACGAAGTCCGCTATCTTATGACGCAATAACGAAGACCGAGCTGAGGTCCCACAACCTGTCAACACCAGCTGACAGCAGATTTGCCCAAGAAAGTCCTATGTGTCACGTCTGTGGTTGTTATCAGCTATCACTTTAATCAAATACCTTTCAATATCGCCTGACTGGCAAAAGAACGATGCCAGTGAGTACAGAATGTGCGGACACTGTAATGTTTGCACTACTTATCGCTCTACATAAATGGAGCCATGGTAGCTGAGGTAGCTTAGTGCGGTAAAATGTTTCCGTCACGCATTCTCCTGGTTCTTGCTTTGACAGCGTTTGTCACACTTCACGTGGGTAGACTTTTCTACTTAGTGGGATTCTCCATAGTTCTATCCAACATCCATCCTTTTTAGGCATTCAGTGCTGAAACGAAATGTAACTGCTGTAGAATCGTCCTCGGTGACGTGAAAGAAACATTGCCCAAGCTCACCGAGAAAGTTGAAACTGTCCTGGACGTTGCCATCAAGGTTAGTTCTTTGCATGTCTTCACGTACGGTCGTCCATTTGTGGGCGGGCGGGCGCGGTCGGTGTCGCTTGATAGGGCCTTATAAGGGCACCTTCCTTGGAAAAGGCGCTATGCAGCGCCTGTTCAGGGTCGCGGAAATCTGTCCTGCCAGCGCATTAGTCCTATTCGTCTTAGGGATTTACTGCGTACTAGCTGCCTCTAATGGAATCGCAAGATTTCAACGCAACGAAAATTTCCTGAAATTTTTACATCCCCTAAGAGAGGCCTAGGGGTTTGCCTTTTGGTCCCAGTTGTTTATAAATGCTTCCAATTCTACCCCTCTCC